GGGGACGCCCTGCACCTGCGCATGCGCCTGCTCCGCCCGCCTCCCAGCGCCGGTAAGGCCGGGGCGGGGTACGCGTCCGCGCTGCCCGGGAGGCGCTCGGGGGCTCGGTAAGGGGCGGCTTTGCTGGGGGTTACCTGGAGCCGCCCTGAGTGGGACTGTAAGGCGTGGGTCCTGCAGCCCAGGAAAGCCGCCCGAACCCGGCTGCAGCTGGTGGGTTGCACTGTGCGTCTGCTGCTGCTTTTTCTGACAGGCTCCTTCTGGCTCTGAATGGAAGATAGATCTGCTAAAATCTAATAAAACTGTCAGTTTTAAAACTCAGAAGTGCGAAAAGTGACGTAATGAAAGGGAAACACGGTTGCTGAGTAAGTGTTTTGCAGAGGAGTTTGAGAACTGCTCTCAGTTCTTCCCTGCCCCGTGCTTTACCTTGTTACTTCAAAATTGCTTTCTTCCCTTCCTATTCCGTGCTTGATAGCCGAAAATGCAGTACTATGATTCATCCAGGCTGTTGCACTGAGGTTGTCACCAACCACTTAATCATAAAGGATGGTGATGTTGTGTGGGAGCTGCTGGTTCTCCGTTTGCAGAGCTGAATGTTGCAGGTAACCTCCGCAGAGTTACCCTCTTCATTTCTGAGGTCCTCATTCAGGTCTAGAATGTGATTGCATAAATAGGAAGCGTGGTAGCATAGCTTCTATGCTACCTATAGCTTCTTTCATTCTAGCATCCAGGCTCAGTATGTTTACATTCATTAACAGGACGTGACACAGAAAGGTATTAAATAACACAGCATTGTCATCCTGTGGTTTTAACTGTCATTCTGTGGTATACCTGGTGCTTGCTTTCATTTTAGAATCCAACCTCAGTATGTTTAGATTAACTTAATAGGATGTGACACAGAAAGAGATTAAATAACACAAAATTGTCATTCTGTGGTTTTAAAGTAAAAATGACCAATAAAGTATGTGATGTACAATAATGGTTTCAGCACCAGAAACACAATCTGTGCATTTTATGGTATGCTGGGACTGCTTCTGTACGTTAATCTGTAATTGTGCATGTGCTTTGGTAATTCAGTTATACAAAAATTACTTAGGGTGTCTTATTAATGAGACATGCTTTAAAAGATCAAAGATGCAGTTTTAAAAATTTAGTTTTGAATGTTGTACCAGTGAAAAACATGTATGTGAACCAGGTAGTAGTCGCCATATATATTGGATAACCTTTGTTAGCCTTTAATGTTCTATATTTATATGCAAACTAGTTGTCTCTTACATGAAATTCTGGAACATTTGAAAGTATTTTTCATTTGTGTTTGCAACCTAAACCTTATATACTGAAATGCCAGTGCTGACAATATACTTTGATTCTTAAGTTTGAGAAAGTAGGCAATCCAAAACATATTCATACATAGAGCTAGGCTTATAGTTTTATTTTTCTTCCACCTAATGTTATTTGATAATTAGTGGAGGCTTTTATAGCTCCTTCTTTAATTTGGAAGAGTTATCTGAGCTGGCTTTTATGAGACTGTTTTTGCTTTGCTGGCCTGCAGAGGGTATTGCTCACTCTCTCTTCCTTGAGTGATACCACAGTGGCTGGTATCTTACCTGCCTGAAAATTTAAAACTAGTGCCCTTCACCCCCCCCACCAGCTATTTTGTGTTACATATTGGGATGTACCCTCATATTGCAGAGGCACTGATTAGCAGAAATATTATTACAAAAGAGTGGCCTTGAATTTTAATTCATACAATCTCTGTAATGATATCAATATCTCAGCTTCTCCTATGGAGAGGATTTGCACCTTTAAAGTAATTATTCATGTACACAATTCCTACTCAGTGATATGGGGCATGAGGTGGGGATGACAAGTTTTTCCTAAATCTAAGAACTTGCTCATGCAGGTAAATAAGTTAAGGTTGTGTTTAAAATGTCAGCATTTTGCTTTGTTTGTTAGATTCTTATCTTTATTGGTTTGAGGTATTTGGCAGGATTTTTCTGTACAAGTGACTAAAAATTTTACACAATTTTGAAGATTCGTATGTTTTTTTCTATCTATAGATTTGGTTTTTACTTTGAGGGAAAGCCTGAAACCTCAGAAGAATTACATCTTTTACTGTCAATCCTGTGGTGACATCATAGTAAAAGACCGGTGAGTACTGCAGTGTCCCATATTTATAACACTAAATGCCATAGTGATTTGTATTTGTGTTATTTTGTGTACTTAGAGAGAAAGCTAAAAGGTATTTAGTTTGAAATTGATAGATCGAGATTGAGAACACTTTTGAGGCACTACAGATGACTAAAAGCAGAATAACTTGAAACAGTTTTTCCCATTTATTAATTTACTTCTTGCTTTCATTCTGGCTGGAAAGTAGAAGTACCTTACAAAGGGAGTTTGGTGCATTGCCCTGGAAGCTGGGAAATTGGGATTCTTTTCCTGCTTGTCTGGTGTGCTTTGAGCGAGACATTTCCTTTTGTAGCTGGACTTCCCTATGTGTAGAATTTCTGCTTTGAGCTCTGTGGCTTTTTGTTCATACAGTATCTCTTTGCTCTCATTATAATAGCTTCTGGTTTTGCTGTACAAACAAAAAGCTGTAACATTTTGGCCGGGAAATACTGAAAATATTCATAGTTTTCATTGATTTAAAAAATACTTATGGTCTATTAGTAGCTGACATCTTTGCTATGTTGAAGGGAATAACACTGAAAATTTGAGCTTAGACTTCTTTCTTCCTCTGCACTTCAGGGATCCTCTTCAGTTCTGCTCAGTCTCTTATAAATTCCCTTCAGTCATCTTGCTGCAGTTATAGAGTGGCTACTCAGAATGGGGGTGTTGACCACAGCTCCCTTCTATCTGTCCAGCAAAGCCAACCTCCACATAGTTCAGGGACACCGAATTTGGGAGACGCAGGAGCTGTTTCCTAGCTGTGTGACTCGGCCTTATCTCTGTTCCTTAAAAAGTCTGCAGAGTGAATGAGAATTTTAATAAAAAGCTCCTGCATTTTCTGGCTCTTCTGATGGACAATTTTGACAGCTTCAGCTGGATATATACAAATTGTTAGTGATGCACTTGCAACCTTTTATGATCTGTGTCACTCCTAATACTCAAAATGGTAATACAACTGTGGTATGTTCTATAAACTGTTACTTTCTTGTCATACGTTTGGATTTATGGCTGGCTTGAATGTAACTGAATGAGCACTTCCTGGCTCTCACTTCTGAAGTGCCTTATCAGGAAGTCTAGTAATAACTCTTATTTTGATACATTTATAGAGTAATGAAACTTCTAATTTCTAGTCTGTAACATTTGCTTTCAAAAGCTATTGCACTTCTATATTTTCATTTCTGAGTGGGTGATTTCCTGAATTTCAGTGCATCAAATTCACGTGCACGGAGTTTGCGTCTTTTGGTTCCGCGAGGTGACGCAGTCAGAATTTTTGAGACATTTTTGTTCGTGGCACTTTGCTTGGCATTTCTCCTTGCAGGGAACCTCTGAGCCCCTCAAATGTCATCACTAAAAAAATATTGATGAGACAAGGGTAGAAGAGTGGAGCTGCCAGTGTATCCAACACCTTCTGTTCCAGCACTTACAAAAGGAAGACAGTGGCGTAGTCAGTACTTTTAGAATTTGTGTGCTGGTCTGTCCAGGGAGAGTGAGTATGCCATGGCAGCACAGGCAATGGGATCGAAGGAAAGTTGCAGAACTGTGTAAGGGGGAACTTACTAAAGTGTGAATGACTAGGAAAAGGTCTGTAATAAGAAAAACCTGAGATCTAGAAAGTGATAACCTTTGAGAAGACACTGAAATAAATTGGATTTAGTTTAGATAAGACTGTGGAGGAGACACAAGAGTCTTCCAATGTGTAAGAAGTTGCTGCAAAGAAGGTGGCAGTGGTTCTTCAATTGAAGCAAGAGGAGTTTAGATTAAAGTGAAAAAAAAAAAACCAAACAAACCTATTCTAAAGCTGGAAGCCATCATTTTGATGAATAGATTAGGAATGTTAGATGTAAGTGATCCTTCCTTAATGCAGAAAATGGACTCTAAATTTTCTGAAATCCCCTGGCTTAGTCTGTCTTCTTCCATGACTCTGATGGCTCTTCAGAGGTTAGGGCTATGCTCTCTACTTCTTCCCCATTGCCCTCACAGTAACCACACTGGAGGAAATTAGTTGATTTTTTTTAAATTTTCTTCCATGATTTAAGAGCTGCAAAGAATTTGGGATGCTTTCTTTTTTTTTCTCTCCTTCCAGTTAGGCTAAGTTTAGTTTATATATAAAATAATTCTTTAAGGCTTTATTTCCGCTGTGAAAAAAATCTTAAAGGCTGAATATTGTGAAAAATAAATTTCATAAATTGACTGTTAAGCAATAACCCTTTTCCTTAGTCCAAACACTGAGAATTTGTACCACATAAGTATTGTATTGAAAAAGTGATTGCAGGAGAAATCTTCTAATTACACTTTTCCTACATAAATAGCTTTAAACATGACAATTAACTGTCAAGCTGGGCTGTCTAAGATTTAGTAAGCAAATAAGGAAAACTGCTGTTAAAGAAATTCAGTTGGATCTTTTGTCTTTCTCTTTTGCTTGGATGGCACAGAAGGGTTATATGTTTGAAGTCCATTTTATTTCCACCTTTTGGAATTTTCAATAGATAGGATGATATTACTGGGTTCTTGGATATTAGTTAATAATGGTATTAGAGATTATTTTTCGTAGTCCAGTCTTACAAGGATTTCCATGGCCAAATCCTTACCTTAGCATGGAAGCCCACCTAAAAATTACATCCTTATGGCAGGACTCCTTTAGAGTTGTGCCTAACTTCTAGCTTTTAAAAATTAATTACCTAGGCTTCCTCTGTTTGGGACAGAGAACTTGCTCCAGGAGATTTAGCCTGACTATATTAAACACTGTCAGAAGGAGAAAGTTTCTCTTAAAGATCCCAACCTAAGAATTGTTTGTCTCTTTCTGACTGTGAAGTGCAGCCTAGGTGGCTATTTTAAAGTCAAAACTCGGTTGTTATTAGCAACTTTGTGGAGATGAGTCCCTCTCTTAGCTAGGTTTTATCACTGTATTTAGCAGCCTCAAGTTAGTCAGCACCCAGTAAACTTTAAACTTATTTCTTTGTTGCTTTTCTGGAAAGCTGCATTTTTTAGTGTTACATTTTTCCAGTTCTAGCAATCCAGAATATGGCTCCTTGCCTACGAATGGCAAAGCCTAAAATATAGCAGAAATGGCTGTATTTTCTCTATATCTCAATGTTAGGAGGAGTCTGTTTAGGAAGTTCCTACTGGTTGGAGCATCTGCTTTGGTTGGGCAGGAATTCAAGATCTTGATGCTCAAGACTGTGAGGGTAAGGAAAGGGTAATGTAATGAAACTGGACAGCATTAGTCTGCAGCTTAAAGGTAATCTCTGTCTCTTCCCCCCATATTTAACACTTGAAAAGACATTGCTGAGCAATGCCAGCTTTTTGTTGCTGTGGTGTAAAGAGTGATACATAGGAATGAAGACTTTTTTTCGGTGTGAGTCCGGGCAGTGAAACTATTTGTATAAGGCTGATGAGTAATCAGTCATTAGGCCAACGCCAGAATTCAGGTCCCACCGTGGCAGAATTGTGGTTGCATTTCAGACAATATATAAGACCTGAGAGAGTGAAGACAGTGATGAGTAGCGCTGAGAGGTGATCTTAGTTGTGGTAAAGCTGGGTCAGAGGACTAGTTATTCCAGCTTTCATCTGCAGGTGGGGCAAGCACAGTTTAAAATGTATTGTCGATCTAGAAAGAAGGAAGTTTTTAGAAAAGATTTTACTTTCACCTGCTCAACAATACAAAAGGCACAAGAAACTGCAATGGGAAGAACTGGCATCTTTGGAAAAGAATAGTCTGTGAACTGCAAGAAAAGGAAGGTGTCTTAACTGTTGACTTAGCAGCTGTGTGTTCATTTGCAAAACAGCAACATAAGCAAAGTTGTATTTGCAATTTTTAAGTAACGAGTGGAATCAAGAAACTCTATGTAAAGGTTTCAGACAACATCAGAAGAAATAAGGGAACAAAAGGAAAGCATTCAAGGAAACTAGGCTGTGAGCATAAAGCGCAGCTCTGCAACAAGCAGTACATCTCAAAAACTGTTAGAGAGGTGCACGCTGTTAAAGCCATTGCTTGTTGTTTTGGTAAAGGGACTGAATTTCTTCCCAGTGCAATAGTTTTCTAGAAAACACTGATTAAAGAAAGTGTAAATATGTGGACAGTATCCGTCAATACTTCTACATTCTTAATAAAATCACACGTGGTAGGACCACAGAATGGCTGTTGGAACTGTAGGCAGGAAAGTATTGACAACTGACTCATAATGATGGAGTCTCCTTCTCTGGAGACATTCAAAACCCGCCTGGACGCCTTTCTATGTGATCTGATTTAGGTTCCTGCTCTGGCAGGGGGATTGGACTGGATGATCTTTCGAGGTCCCTTCCAATCCCTGACATTCTGTGATTCTGTGAAACTGGTATTTATATAGCCACATGTATATATTCTAGCTTTAAGAGTAGATTTTATAACTTAAAGGTGTGATTCCAAACCTTGGCTTATAAAATCCTTTGGCACTGCATGTAGCCAAAGAAAGTAAGCTAAAAACAACACTGATAATGAAAGCACTGCCTGGTATTGCCTGGAGCAGCCTCCCTGGTCCATACAGCTGCCCAAGATAAAAGGATTTGTAGTTTTTTTATGTGACTTCTGAAACTTGAATCTGAATCTAAATTAAGATTGTGTTATCCCTTTTTTTTTAGTGAAGATATACTGCAGTATTTTTGTCAGATTTTAGCTTTTTCAAAGTCTGGTATCTGACTTTGAGGGGCTTCAAAGGACATACTCTTCCTTGCTGTGGCAGCAGTCCATTTCTGTTGGTTTTGTATCAACATTTGGTGCAAGGGAACTTTACAAGAAATAATAATAAATATAATTACAAAATGCCCATTGTTATATTTTTCATGATGGGGTAGAACTGTTTTCTGTGGTTCATTTCAAGAGAGGATTATGCCAAGTTCTGCCTTATAATCATTGGAGATTCACCCTTGGGAAATGCTTCATCATAAACTTGGCAGGAAATACTCAACCATTGCTTTCTCAGAATTCATCTGAAGAAAGTAAGTGCCTTTGACTGAAAGCAGAGTCAAGCACTTGGAGTAAGCACTTTGGAGAAAATGCCATACTTCCCTGCTTTTTGTAAGGAGTCCAAGCACTCTTTTACTGTCTCAGGAAATAATATAATATATTGATATATTTTTTTCTTCTTCCCTCATAGGAAATTTCTGAGAGTTCTTCCTCTACCAAGTGAAAACTGGAGTTCTTTAGTTGAAGAGTGGTGTTGTCACGCTAACCCCTTTGCCAGGAGCACTTTGCACCCTCAGCGTGATGACTGTTTTCTTGGAGATACTTTTTTTCTGTTGCATTCAGGAAGTAAATCACATGTGCCTGAATCTCCCATGTGCTGCTCAGAGACTGGACACTATGCTGCTCAGAGCGGCTCCAACTTGGTAAAATATTTTGTTTGAATAACTCTTAAGTGAATGTATTTGGACTTTTTTTTCTTGTAAACCACTTTTTTTGTCACTGGTTTATTAAACTTGTATGTATTACAGAGTTGTTTTGAAGGTCATAGGGAGTTGTTGACATTCAGTTGTACAGAAACCAGAAAATATTCTAAGTTATGATTTAGATTTTCTAAAGCATGCACCATGGTCTTGATATTGACCCAAATATGCAAGAAGAAATTCTTTCTATAAACTGAATTAGAAACTGTTTAATTATGTAGTATTAAACCCAAATATTTCCCAAAAAAATATCCTGAGTGAAGGACATCAACATTTAGTAAAATAATAACTGTAATGGGTTAGGAGTTTGTCAAAGGGTAATGGAGCAAAGAACAAGGAGGAAACTGGAGTAACAATGCTTTTTCTTCTCAACCTGTGATTGGATACATAAGCATAAATATGATAAAAGGAAGGTGTGATTTGTGGTTTTTTTGTTAGCTTTAGAAAGACTCATAAAAATCAGAATGTGTTTTGGGTTCAGATGTGGCTGTCTTACACTCTTAGAATATAGTAAGGAAACTGAGTTTGTCTGACTGCTCTCTCTAGTGAAAGGGACCTGCCACCCCAGGTTATAACTCTCTGTGTCAGTGTTTCTGAAATGTTCCAGGAGGGGATTTATCCATCAGCTGGGTGTCTAGGAAGGGGGCTGTCACTTGGCTACAAGTGATACAACATTTATTTTGCCCAGGAAAAAAATAATTGTAGGGATACTGATGTTTCAATGGTGGGATAAAACCCATGAAGTGCTTTACTAATCTTGGAAATCTAGCACTTGTATAACAGTTTAAGCAGTAGTCTTTTCTTCTTCTACCAGCAGAACATCCAGGAATTTTGTTCATCAAAGCCTACATTTACATAAAGTCTTTTCTGTTAATCTGCTGTTTGTATTTGTGCTGACAAAGGCTGGACCTGCAGATACCATCTTTTCTTCCAATCCTATATATTAAACCTAATTATGGAAATCCTTCTACAATTATGGCAACTGTTGCTACCTTGGCAACTTGTATCTATAACAGCTGATGACTTGCTATGTACAGGTTCCCAACAAGAAGCTTTTGATCTGTTGAGATGTAACACCAGAGGCCCTGATTCCTGTCTGCTCCTTAGCGTCATTAGAGATTTGTATTATCCCCAGTTAAATCACCAGGATTCTCGCAGTTCAGCGGTTGCTGGTGCAATGCATCCAAGCGAACCATCTGCTTGGGAAACAGTTCTGTCCTGTGATCCATAGCTCCAAGTCTTGCAGCTGTGGTCCCTTTGGTTTCTTGTTCTATTGTTTTTAGAAAAGCAGAATATGGGGAGGGAAAAATAAGATCTGATCCCTGAAAAGATACCAGCATGGGAGAAGCAGATTAATGTGGATTAACTCTGTGGCAATCTGAGTTATTTCTTCTAAGTATCCTTCAGAAGAAGGCCGAGCAGAAGATTCCCAATTTCTAAGAGGACAATGCTTTCTGCCAAAGGTCCCCAAAATGAATTAGCTCACATTTCAGTAGACTCAAAAGAGGTCTTAGAACAATGGAAACAAAGATGGGAAGAGGCAGGGTGCATGGAGTTTATATTGCAGCCCAAAGACAGAGGAGCAGTCTGCCCAACACGCTTCTTAAATCAATCAAAGAGAATGTTAGGCAGAAAAGGGTTGTTTTTAAGGCAGCAACATGATAAAAGGGTGTGGGACAAAGATGCTACTGAGATACAGGTCAAACTAGGATAACAGCAGAACTTTTGAATGAAGGAGGCTGTTTTCTGCCAGAGGCATACAATAGTGGTTTAATGTGATGAATTTTCACATTTGCTTCCTTAAACTAGCATTGAAGTTGAGAACACTTTCCTTGTTTGTGTCAAACCCCTCTTTCTACATTTTCCATACTTGTAATTAATTCTCATTTCTGTGTTTGCATATTTCCAGCGTCACTCGATTGCCAAGCAAATGAGCAAAACCTTAAGATCGAGCAGAAACTGGACTAATAAGGAAAAAACCCTCATACTGAAACATAAAATTCTTCCATAATATGAGTAACAGAAAGTTAAGGCGAGATAGATTGCTACTGGCATAAATGTTCTCATTTCAGAGAATATTGTTACAGTCTGCCCCAGTGTGAAAGTTCTTTTTTAATTGCATTGCAGTTCTTTGAAAAGTGTTTGCCTATGACCAAAATAGTAGCAGGAATTTACCAGAGATGCTTAAACAATCTTTTCCAGCCTCCAGTGGGACCAAGACAGCATCTGTCCATTGCAAACATATTTCTCACACCTATTAGTCTCTTCCAGTGTAACACAGTTTTTAAATGTCACATGGTCTTGCAGCATGCTAATAGTATCTCTTGGGGAAAATATTTTCCCTGACACCATATCAGGGATCCTTAGGAATAGAAACAGAAAATATCAGGCTGGTGATCCACCTCCATCTGCAGATTGCCAGCAGCTGCAAGTTGTCAAATAGATATATTGATTTAATTAGTCTAGCTAGAACTATTGCTTTTTTCTGTTGAAGCATGATACAATGAGTTAGTGGGCTTTTTTAGGTACTATACTGCACAGTTCTCAGCTAGCACCTGTAATTGTAGTCAGAAAAAAAACATTTAAGTTGTAGCTTTCAAGGAACTACTGTATATTATATACTTGTGCTGTGCAATATTTGTACAAACCTCAAATACTGGTTTTCATACAACCCAGCCTGCTTATGCTTGCTCTTCATGTTAAGCAAATAATTTTACTGTGTATGTTTGAGAGGAGTAGCAAGGTAGGAATTGGGAAAGGGGGTAACTATGTATATATAAATGAGATGTTTTTTTCTGATCTCCCTAACAAAGGGGCTGTACTTCCAACATAGTCAGGTGTCTGAAGCTTTAACAGAGGCTGTCGGGCTCTCCCTGGAGCTTTTAGTTTGATTCCTGGTTTGTGAGGAACAAGCAGAACTTTGTGATCATAATTTCAGATTCCATGTGGGACACTTTCTGTTTTTCATGGAGCTAGAGTGATCCTTTCTGTTCATTTTATTATTTGCATACAGATTTGTACAGATTCAGAGAACTCTGTCAGGCATTTCCAGCTTCAAATCTATCAGTTGTGTGTGAGCTATAGTTTTGAGAAAGACATCCAGTGTTGATTAAATACTTCAAATGATGGAAGCTTTATCGCATTCCTTGGTAACCTATTTCAGTGGTTAATTATCCTCACTCTTTGCTGCCTTCTTATTAAACTAAGCACACTAAGAATTGCAACTATCTCTTTTTATCTCTGAAGTGTATTGTGTTGTAGAAGTTTTCCAAACCTTTTTCCAAATTTTTAACATACTTTATAGATCCATTTTTGCAGTAGTCACCTCACTAATTCTGAAGATGTTATATTTTTCTGTTTATCCATGTCAACTATCGAGTTGTTCATGCATTCAGAGATCATATTTGCCCTTTCTTTTGCAGCATCTCATTAGTAACTCTGGATTGGTTAACTACCATCGTCTAAATTCTTTTGATTTTTGCTGTCTGTGCCTATGTATTCCTTTATTTTATCAACACTGACTTTGTTGTTGCTGTTGTTTCTGAATACATGATCTGGCATTTGGCTGTATTTTAGTGTAGATTGTAAATTAAGCACAACCTACTTAATGATCCAGACTGGTGTGTAAAGCTTCTGTATCTCTCTTGTTTAACCCTTTCCTATCATTGCAGCGGGAAGTACTTAAACTTTTCCATAGAGTAACTAAAAAAATTGGCCTAATGTGTCTGACTTGTCTATGATCTCTTTCATCACCAGTCTAATCACAGAACACATGTCCTTCAAGGTACTTGAATTAGAATAAATCAATTAAAAAAAACCCCAACATTATTCATTTTTCGATTAGTGCTTAGAAATCTGTGTAGTCTGAAAGTCCATAATCCAGGTTCTGAAAAGAATGGACGTATGTAATGGACATATCTCAAAACTTACCTTTGTACTTATCTGACATAGCTAGGGCCATTGGATTTACTTCATGCTGGGTTTTGTTTTTTGTGGTTTTTTTAAATAATTTAGTGATGTGGCAGGCCACAGAGCACCACTTTTTGTTCTGGACATCAGTCCAATGTATCATCCTCATGCCTTTTAAAATTTGAATACTAAGGAGTATGATAATGATGAATAAAAGCTATGCTTCCTGAAGAGCGCCTGTGTGTTCATTCCAGTTGGAATCTATGAGAACTGTCACCATCTTTTACAAAGATTACAGAAAAAGATAAATTCTGAGTTTTTTTCCCCTCAACTAGTTTAATTTATGCTAACTTTAAATATTATTTTTGTAGACATGTGCTGCAATGTGATTTCTCAAGTTCATAGTAACTTGTTTGGACTTATAAACCAAGCCAATGAAACAGTAATTGTTTAATTACATATGGGTATTTTTGTGGACTGTATACTGTATGAACAATTATAAAGGTGATTATACAAAGACTACATGGAAAAATCAAATTTAGGTGTTTTCTCATTACATTCTCAGGATTTCTAGCTTCAGAAGTGTTTATTAACTCAGGAGCATCATGGTGGTTGTATATATGTACTGCTTCCAGACCAGAGCTGTCCTGCTACACCCAGGTTACTAAGCCCACACAGAACCAGTTCTGGAATTTAGATTTGGATTAAAGTAGGTGTTGTGCTTCCTTGTATCTTTATACGGATACTGAATTTAAACATTAACACTTGAATTAGTAGGAGTGTTACTGGGGCAGATCACACGTTCATCCAGAAATGAGATCTTTTTCAGTGGGCAGTAGTGGATGCATAAGAGCAAGGCAAGTATTGAGTGATGTTTTGGCCAGTGTAGAGAATTCTTGAACTAGATGTTGTCATCCTCATTTTTGGTTTTTAATAAGCCCTTGATGAACATTGCTTCCCCTGAATTTCTGAAGACTTTTTGAGCTTAAGTGTACTTTTAGTATGAAAAATACTTTCCTGTAGTGAGTACCAAAGTATATATTATACATTATATGACAAATACCTTTGTTTTCTTTGATAGAAACCAGGTTACAATTTCATAATATGAGCTATGGGAGGAAAAGTTTTTTTCCTCTTTAGCTTTTCCTAAACATTCGTGATTTTGTATATCTCAGTGATACCCCTCAGTTTTCTGTCTTTCATGCTCTCTTCCATTATGTGTGGGTTTTTTGCCACATATGGAAACTGTTTTGCACATCTGACAATTTAGTAATTGAATACTGAATTATTCTTTGTCAGTACCTTTTCTGTTTTTGCTTGAATTGAGGGAGAGGGGTTGTTTAAGAACAGAATCCACCTCATCTTTCTGTAATATCATGCTATGTTGTGTTCTTCAGCTGTTCCCTAGTAATTCAAAATACTCTGTGGATATTTTCTGCTCTCTGCTGAACATTGAACTGATATTCCTATAAAATTATCCACAGTGGCTAGAACTTTTTACTGAGTGATAGTAGTCACATTGCCACATAATATTTTATATATTATGTATATATTTCGGAATACTTCTTTTCATTATCTTACCCTCATTGAAATAAAATTTACCTTATCCTTTTATTGTCCAGTCACTCGATATTACAAGATTCTCCTGTTAGCTATTGCAGGTTATGCTGTGTGATCGGTATATTGCCAGATTTCAAAACTAGGATGAAACTTGCAAGCAAGTCAAAGTGTAGAAAGCTGAAATACTGAATGCAAATCTGTGTGTATGTAAACATAAAGAGAACAGAAACAAGTACCAAGTTCACTCTCTGCTCTGGAGAGTATGTTAGTACTGTACATTCCTTTTTCAGAAAAACTCAGTAATCACATTTCTTTGTCCTACAGAAATCAAAGGAAAATACCAGAGTAACTTGTAAGCGCTGCAAGACAATGCTGGGAGAAAAAGTATCACCAGGTATGGGGTGTACAAACCAAACTAGACTTCACTGCATCAACCATTGAACACTGGGGGTTAAAAATTCTGGAGGAAAGTAGTTTATCAGTAAGGTGCAGGGCTGATTCCTGTGTGTTTGTCTCATTCCTCTCTGGGACAGATGAGGTTGTTGCTTCCACTGGTAGACCTTGAAAGTGATTTATGACAGGGATTTTCTTCATCCTTGTTTCCGTGGCACATTTGGCTAATTCTAAAGCTTTGGAAGACTCAGTGCATGATTCCAGTTTACTAGGAATCCCAGTAAAAAAGGAGACCTGAGAAATTACGGGTTGTTTATTTTGCTGTCAGTCCTACAGAATAGTGGAAACATTAATTCAGAACTTCAACACAGTTCTAGAAGCTAAAGGTATGATTGCTAACAGCCAGCCTCGTTTCTTTGAAAGGAAACCTTGTCAAAGAAACAGGTTACCTCTTGTCATCCTCCAATAATAAGATGATGAGATTATTGGTTTAAAAGCTGTCATTATATTGAATCAGCAGGGCTCACCTGCAGTAGTGTAAAATGAGTTTCTGCTGTTTTTTAAAATGTAGTTATTAAAAAGAGAGAAGCAATGATACGACTGTTACTAGCAGGGTTCATTCTTTCATTCTCCCTCTGTTCCACTGCATCAGTCAGTGGAAGCCTGGCTCAGTTCAGAGATATGGAGAATACAAAAACTTGTCAGAAAATGCAATGCCTGTTTAAGAAATGAGTCATGAGGATACACAAGACAGAAGGTCTTCTGTTACCAAAGGTTCCAGTTGTCCTGTACGGGTATCTGAGCAGTATAGGCTTTAATAAAACCCCGTTTAAGGTAGGATGTTTGGAAGCCCACGATGCAGATTGTAAGACTTTGAGAAAACAGTGTGCTTTACAGATCAACTCTATTCCCTTATATGATTTTTTTTACTTGGGAAATCCCACCTTCTGTCTCTCTGCAAGCAAACATCTCCTTAATTCCCAATACCCTTGCAACAGTAGCACCAATGCCTTACTTAAGGAGTAATCTAGGGAGCTAGAGTGACTGAATGGCTTCTTTTCCTCCTGTCTCCCAGGACTAGGCACAGTGTGGAACAGACTGAAATTAAACTTAGAGGTAAAATATAATATATATAGAACAGTAAGGATAATTTAAAAAGTGTAGTGCTTGTCTGGTGAAGCGGTGAGATTATCAAGCCTTTGGAATCTTTAAAACAGATTGTCTTTCTGAAATACTTGCTTTCATCCATGTTTAATGGTGTGTGTGAACAGAGATCATATGAGATCATATCTGCCTTTACAATGTATGGAACTGATGAATCTTTGCTGTTGTTTACATGCTAAGGCTTAGTGGAATTAATTTATTTACTCTCTATGCTTAACCTGTTCTGCTGGCCCTCTGGTTAGGCTGTATTTGTAGCATAGACCCAGAGCTTCAATATGATAATCTTTGACCTAATTTTATTGATGGGGATTAAATTCTGTACTCAAACACTTCCATTTAGTGTTAAAGGCTGCCTTAGTGGAGCTTTTGGGGAAGAGTTACATTAGAACTCGTAGTGCATGCAGTATTAGTGTTGAGTTAGTGAAATTTTTGGAAAGAAGTTCTATTTTGCTCTTTGAGCAAAGAAGAAAATTATTCCCCTGTGTGTGCTGTTATTAAAACTGTCTCTTGTGATTCACTGCAGCATTACTGAGCAGCAGAGGGTACTAAAATACTTATGTAAGCTATGCTGATCCCAGTGCTTTAGGGAAGTTCTTTCAATTCATCTTTCAGGTTTGGCTTGAGCTCTTGCTTGCTTTGTTTCAAGATGATTGTTCCCAGCATTAAACAAGGATCAATATGAATGACAAATTGCAGATCATGTAATTAGTTCAGAGCAGTTTTCTTCTGGCAATGTATGTTATCTGTTATTGGTTGCTTCTCCTCCCACAAACCAAAGCAGAATTTGACCATCTGCTGCACCTCTTAATTGAGTCCCGAACAGAAGTTTAATTAGTATAGTGATATGGTGATTTACAGTCTATTCTTAACAAGTCTGTTATTCTGTTGTACTTGAAAAATGTTTATGTCATTTTAGATACCATTAAATATTATGTCACCGAGGTGATTATTTGGCCGTCTGAGGGAAGTTTCAGCACAACACCAAGGTAAAAAATAAAAATGTAAAAAAAATCTGATTATTTGCTCAGGTTTATGTTTTGGAAAGGTGCTAGCAATGTAGCAAAATTTTAGTTTCTTGAATAAAAAGAAAAAAACCATAATAACAAAGCTCAGTCAAATTATAAGTAATCATCACAGAATTAAGCACTGTAAAAGTAGTGCAGTCTGAATTCACTCATGTACAATTTTGTTTGCTTGTCTTTGTGTGAGTTTCTGTGTGCTTGTTTGTGTGTGTATGATGCAGAAGGAGAGAGACTGTATATAATTTGTCACAGTGTCTCACTATTCAGATGATAAGCCAAAATACAATACTTATTTATTTTGAACTATTTAAGTTTGCATGATATCTGTTGTCTAATTATGGAAATGGAAAATTACATTATGTAAAGTTAAATTAAGTAAAGCTTGAAATGTTTACTTGGAAGTGAGATTTTTTAATTTTCAAGTAATTCAGTTTGAAGTTGAGACTAAGATGAAACAGAACTTGATCTAGCTGTCTTGTATCATGCACTATGAATCAATCACGATTCTTTCCTTTTGTGAATTATTTTTGAATTATGTGCATCATTCTGAACTTTGTGATCATATATGTAAAATATAATAGATAAAAGCTTTTATTCAGCATTTGATATTTGGTGTTGGTCCAATAAAGGATGTGGAGCAATTTAGACTGCTGATCTATTAAAAAATTCCTGTTGCAGGAAGTAGAAAGTCTTCTGTTTTTTGGGGAGAGAGAGGTAAAGAAGCCCCATCGCTCCACAGAAAGTGGTTGTAGGATGTGATGGAATTGACAGTATGGAGATGCTCATCTATTTGTACTGCATCAATATGAATGACTTCGCCCATGTAGTCGTTATGAAAACATATAATATGTTGTTAATTCTTAAACAGGTCTCATTTCATACAGAGCATGGTTGCTCAGTGTCTTATGGAATTGTCCTCCACTAAAAGCACATTTAGATTCACCATAAAAGGAGATGATGGAAAAATCTATATTCTGGTAAGTATTTTTTTATCTCGAAAATTTTAACCTATGGATCCCAGCTCCTAAAATGTATTACTTATGCTGATCATAATTGTATGTATAAAAAACATTAATTAATTCAAATTCTTGTGTTGAAGTAGCTCTGAATAGTTCTATTTGAATAGAAAATTTCCCCCTGTTTTTTTAATCTAAGTAGATATACATATAGAAATTTTCTCTATTAATACAGTAATGAAAGTACTATGAATACACCACAGGTAGCACAGAAATAACCATTATCTATTCAGAAAGTACAGAAAGCTTATTTTGACTTTATAATATGTATCTCATCTTCTTGCTCCAGTGCTTCTTATCTTTAATCACCAGAAGTTCATCAAATTGTGTAGCATCTTTCATAAATATTGTCTTAAGTCAGCAGAGACTACTAATGCAGTCAGTACATTACATTGCAAAGTGAATTGCAAACAAAAATAAAATTGCCTATTATACTTAATGTTCTAATGCTGTTAAACTTGTTTAAGCTTGATATTTAAACAATGACAGCTAAATTCCTAAAACTTTTAAGATGGATAGAAATTTGGGTCTGTAATTATCTTAATACTATACAGTTGTTATAACCAGGATGTTTTCTTTTATTCATGAATTAAATATAGACACAGAATTTGAAATTTTGTAGTTTGTGTGAGTTATTCATAGACACAAAGATAAAGAAATACATGATTGTAGATTCCTGCCCTAGATAAACTTTTAGATATACTTTATGGAGGTAGGCTATCTAATTAAATAAACTGTTATTTATATACATTGTCCAAGTTCTGTAATTTCCAAACATCCAGATTCTGAGGTAAGGGTATATCTGTTACTTTTAAATAAATTATAGTGCCAGGATAACATTTATACAACCACTGAGAAATACTTATTCTGTGATGATAAAATAAGGTCTCATGAGCAGACCCATAATTGTCACTACGTATAATGAGGAATCATTAAAAATTGTTGTAATTTTTCCCTTGTAGCTGTGTGTTTCCAAGTTACCTAATATTCTGATGCTTAAGTCTAGTATAGAATCATAGAATCATAGAATGGTT